CAATCACTCTCGTCATACTTCTAATTCTTCTCATCATCTTAATGCAATTATGATGAATGATAGTGTATTACCTCCTTCACCTTCTGTATCTCCTTCAAGACTTAATCCCAATAATGACACTTCTCCGAAATTACCTCCTTATGCTGCATCTGAACACGCTTACTCTCGAAGTTCTCCAATAAGTGCTGAAAAACATCAAAAATCACAACAACAATTGGATATTGCAAGTCGAAAGGAGAGTAGAGTGGATCCGAACATGTTGGTACCAACATCACCTTCTCCACCTTCTTATAGGGAGCGTTCAACTCCCACACCTGAAGATATTTATACGAGAAATTATATATGAAGTGTTTCTTTTCTATGGATTCTTGTACAAAAAAAAAAAAATTTTTTTTCTACTCACACTGTCATGAAGGAATTATTAAAGCACGTTAAAATGTTTAAATTGTTGACTTTTTTGACGCGTGGATCGTGTAGGGCATGTTTCACGTGCCATTTTTCAACATTAACATTTTTATTCCCGTTATAATTTAAATTTATAAAAAAAAAAAAAAAAAAAATTGTAAATAGCGTTTTTTTATTTGTATTACATTATCATTTTTTTCTCATTGTATTATTATTTTTTTTTACTTTATAAACATTCATCCTATAACAATTTATCATCTGTTACATTATAAAAGCGCACACTCAAATAGAATTTTAATTTCTGTTTGTTATAAACGTGTGCACTTTATACAGAACTATCATGATTTTTAATGGATGTAGATTATCCCTATTTTTTTTTTTTTTTTGAAATATGTTGTAACGTATTCATATCATATTAACATTATGGGGGCTTTATGTTTTAATAAAGTATTTTTCCTATAAAAATTAATAAAAAAATTAATGTCTTTGTTGTTGTTTTTTTTTGATTTTGGTATACGGTAATTTTTGTGTCATTATTATTATTAATTTATCCGGATCACACGAAAATTTAGTAATAACCGATAACCGAACTTTATACATGTGATCCAACCAATACGATAGCTTTTCTTTGAACATCTCTTAGGTTTATTAAACCTACTAAAGTCTACATATACTTTTATTAATAACTCGAACATGAATTCTAAAAAAATGCTCCTAAAATTTCATATTATAACTTATAAAATAAACCAAATTTCAATGTTAGTCACGACAAAAATTATTGAGTTTACTTGCATAAGAAAGAAAAACCAGTACATAATAATGTTTTTTTGAATAGTCAAACCAAAAAAAAAAAAAATTAATAATAATAAAAATGAGCCCCAAGAAAGTATTTCACTTCTGATTCTGGAAAACTTATGTGTCATTTTTGCAATCATAATGTCAATTATGACAATAAATCCTTTATTACCTTACACATAAATAGTAAAACCCACCAAAGAAAGCATAACACCTACCTGTAATCTTTAAATTCTACTTGACAACAATATCTTCTATTATTGTTGGCAGTAGCTAACAAAAAAAAAACTTTATTTGTAATCTTGTTAAAGCATGGGTTAAAGTAAACATTGTGCTGAAAAACTTAACAAATTCTGGAAGTTTCTAAATACACATTGTAATGAAGGTGGTGCTATACCCACGGCTAATACTTTATGCTATTCATACTTACAAAGGTTTTTGAAAAATATTTAGAATGCCTAAGATATATGTTTAATAAAAAACAAGTAGCAATTATCATTGATAAAATGACAGATGCTAAAGGGTGTAGTGTAGTAAATACACTATTCTCTTATCATGAGGTGACAAAACTAGTGTCAGTTAACTTTTTACAATTTATAAATTATACAATAATAGGTGGGTTTGTTTTATAGCTCCTAACAAAATAGAACATTCCTTTTACTTATTCAAAAGCATTTGTTTTGAATTTGCCTTTTATATAAAAAAATGGTTTAAAAATACTTTATTTTTTAATATCTTAGTTGAAGCACAATATATTTTCTGTTTATATTATAAATCTAATTAGTTAAATTTTCTTATAAGATTAATATTTATATTATAAATTTTTAAAATAATAGATATAGATATTATTTCAAATTTTGGTCTAAATTTAGACCAAAATTTAAAATAATACCCATGTTTACTATTTCAAGAATTTATAATAAACATTTTATATAATTTTAATAATATAATTTTTTATAATTTTTTAATAAATTATAGATATAGAGGTTGGAATCTCACAGCCTAGTGGTCTAGGTATCCAATCCTCTATGAGTAGGTTTTGGGTTCAAGTCCTAGTAGATGCAAATTCTACAAATTCTTGACTATACTCACATGCAGAAAGTTAAAGTAAGTACAAGTTTGAATTAGGAATTTCTAAAAAGAGATTCATTGTAAAGAGTTGGCACTATGTGTAATAGTGGTTATTATAGAAGATTCTATAATACAATGGTTGTGCATGTAAATTCTCAATTGACATAGATAGCACCACCAACAACCTTAAGCCAGTATTGGGGATCTTGGTTGGAAGAATGACTAGGCGGTTACTAGAATTGAAGTAGTGAGAAAAGTAGTAAAACACAAAGAGACCTGTAATAAAGAATTGGCCTTACTAAATTTGGAATATCTCTGGCGTTGTATAGATCTCTCTAGCCAATAAGAAGTTGAAGCATAGAGGCATGTACATATAAATAAACCCAACAGACAATAGTCATACCTATATAGGAGTCTTCAGATATTAAAAAGACTCAAAACCTACCAATATCAGAATAGCTAGTATAAGTGCATGTAGTAGTAACTAGAGGCTACAACTGCTGAGAATTACTATAAATAAAAAACAATGATACACCTGTTAAGAACTCCTAGGCCTCATGATGCTACTCAATTATACTTGGTACTAGAAGCATATACAAAACATGTCTAAACTCCTTATCACTATATTGAAAAGTACAGTTGTTAGCATATCGCCAAATTTGCAATGTTAAGATCTAGGTCCCAAAGTTGCAGAAAATCTAGCTAGTTATGGCAGCATGCAAACTTGAAATACTTACCCAATTGGGTAGAGGCAGCTGTATAGCTTGAGATACAAACTCCTAGAAAGTATACTAGTAGGGATT